CTAGTTTTAAACAGAAAAGCTAATATTAAACACAATCACCAGCCAGCAATCCACCAGATTCCCTCACAAAAAAGCTATATATAATGCCCAGAGAACAGACTGCATTCTTTAGGTTTGAGGAATGGTACATTTTTGAAGAATATCAATTTAGTTTTGAGGCCTTTCGTTTTGGCACAGTCTGATCAGTGGGTAAGTAAATATTTGAAAAGTTATAGGCTCAAGTGATTAAGCTTTATGAAAGCAACTGCAAACAGTAACATTGCCATCACTTCCAGAAACTGAGTTCAATATCAACAATATACAGAAACAGGCAGATTTCTACTTATGAAAAGAAATAAGCACTGCACTGGAGAAAATCATGACTGTTTAAAGCTTTAAAGACTGTCACAGTATTTGTTTAATTAAATAAGTGCTAAACTTGTACTTCAAGCTGCATTAAAATAGCCATTCTATTACACACTGTCTCAAGGTGAATTTCCAATACTACTTACAATTTGAAGAAAGTTGTTCCCAGCTGTAGCAGTAACACATGGGGTAGTCGGTGCTCGTGTACAATCAGAACCCCTTCTACAGTCCTTCTCATCCCAATTTTATCAAATTCCTCCCTCATGCGCTGAAACCTGGCTGCAACAGAGCTGTCCTTCTCATAGAGGGGCTCTTTTGTTCCAAAGGTATAATTGGTAAGCGGGTACCTGTGAACCAAAGACAAGCATTTAGCATGAGAAACAGTGCTCCTCTTTACCAGGACAGTTCAAAACAACATGTACAGAAACCATGGGCAAAGCTGCACTGTGTTCAGAAGAGCAGCCAAAGCTTCATGAGCAGCTCTGAGATAGCAAAGATCAGAGTTGCTGCTGCTGTCCGATACAGAAATGAGAGTTCTTACTCCAACTCTGTGCACTCAATTCTTTTCTTCCTCCTGTATGTGGGTTCTGGGGATTGAATTCTTATCAAACTTGGCAGCAAGCACCCTCACCTGCAGAGCCACTTCACCGGTCCCTCTCCAATTATTTTCTCTCTACAAGTTAGCACAACTACTCAGATTTGTCTAGTTTTCAGATCAACTTTTCTTCTTCATTTTTTAGCTTGCTTGTTTACTGAAACAGAGTTGTCCTGGAAATCACTTGTAGTCCAGGCTGGCCTTGAGCACAGAGACAAGCCTGCCTCTCCCTCCCAAGTTGCTGGGTTTAAGGACATGCACGACCACAGTGGCTTCGACCTGTCTTCTTTTTTAGTCTGAGCCTACTAAGACTTCTACATTCACCTTACCCTGCCTACATGATGCGTAGAGATAAAGACAGAGACTGAAGAATATCCAACCATTGGCTGGCCCACCCTAAGACCTACCCCATGGGAGAGAGCCAGTCTCCCAGACACTAGTAACAATATTCTGCTATGCTTACAGACAGGAGCCTAGAATAAATCAACTGCTTTGTAAAGATCAAATTTTCCTTAAAGTTTAAACCCCACACTTATATTTTATCACACATTCTACCTAGCACCCCCTTATTTATGGGGGATTATTTTTCAGTAAGGTTGTTCTGAATGAACATGGCTAATCCCAAAGTAGCTCATCTACCAAAACCAAACAAGAAACAAAAAAAATCCTTGCTCTTGGGCTGGGAAAAAGTCAGTAAGGACTTATCAGGCAAGCATGTGACCTAAATTCAATTTCCAGGACTCAGCAAAAACAAACAAAAACCACCAACCAAAAACTGAGCATGATGGTCCTAGAGTTGTGGTGGTAAAGACAGGTGGATTCTGAGGTTCACTGGCCAACCAGCCTAGCTTACTCAGCAAGTTCAAGGACAGTGAGAGACCCTGTCTCCAAAAAAAAAAAGGTGAGTGTGAAGTAGCTGGAGAGAGAGCTCAAAAGTTAAATCACTTGCTGCTGTTCCAGAATACTAGATTTTAGTTCAGAGTGCAAATGTTAGGAGGCTCGTAAGTACCTGCAACTCTAGCTGAAAAGACTCCACACTTTCCTTTGACCACCGTGGGTACCAACATACTACACACACAGCATATAAAATGTGTATGTTTTAACAAGTAGGAAGCCAATACCCAGTGCTGTCCTGTAGCTGTATATGCATGTATACAGGCACATCAGCAAACACATACAAACTTGGCAGGGGAGAGGCTCAGCGGATAATGCTCTTGACATGCAAAATGAACCCAAGGTTGAATCCCCAGAACTCACACAAAGCTGGCTGCAGTAGGCACACCGAAAATCCCAGTGTTCCTACAACAAGCTGAATGGCAGAGACAGAAAAGCTCCTGGAAGCTTGAATCAGGAAGCCTGATGCAACAGCATCAAACAAGAGATCCTATTCTCAAACTAGTTAGAAGGTGAGAACTGACACTGGAGATTGTCTTCACTCAACATGTGTGCTGTAACAGGCTCACCCACACATTCACAAATGCTGTGAACACACACGTATACCCTCACAGGCACAAGTGCACACATCTGCATGAACGCATATAGCAACATGCACAAAAAACTATTGACATTAACAGACTACATACTCTCCTTAGTTGTTCTTAAGAAGGGAAATTAAGGTAGCCAAAGAAAAACATTATTTCCAGAAGTAAAATTCTAAGCATAAGCAAAGTAGTTCTAAAATAATACAAATATACCATTTTCAGGTGACTTTAAAGATGAATAATTTTGCAGTGGCTCCAATAATGAATCTAATGCCATTATTAGGAAGAGGTTACTATACATAGCTTTATGTACTACACAATGTTTTACATGTGTTAACATGTGGTTTTCGCAACCTGCATTAGAGAGAGTTGAGATCAGTCACATGTCTATTGCAAGGGCTATCTCCTACATCACAGGATCTCAGCGGAATGAAATGTTGGACTGTGCAACTGTGAAATCAGAGCAGCAGGCAACAAAGAACGTGTTCTCCACATCATACGACGCTGTACACCAGCATCCATCCAGCGTTCCCTAGATGGACATACACTGCCGAAACAAAGACTTACTTCCTCCCTAACAGGGAATCCACCCACGTGAACACAAGCACAGTCATTTTATTAACACCACATTTACATAGGCGTGAAAAGTTATTAACACCACATTACATAGGAAGTGAAAATAACATACTCAACCTGTAAAACATTTTGCTGAAAGCACATCTACTTCAACAATTCCACACAATGGCCTGATGTAATCAAGTAAAGTTTAAATAACACCCGTGGTCCTGGCTTATCATTGAAGCAATGCAGAACTTGTGCTTCCAGTTTTTACTTTTTGGAGATGTTGAAGACAGAAATCTGAGGCACTGCACAAAGGTAAGTTAGCAAACTACTCCCACGCTCATCCATTTTTTTTAAAGAGAACTTGCCTAGCTGAAGTGGTGGGCACACACCTTTAATACCAGCACTGGGTGGATCTCTGAGTTCTAAGCCAGCCTGGGCTACACAGGATAGTTCCAGGATAGCCAGGGCTACACAGCCCTGTCTTAAAACACGCCTCTACCCCCCAAAAAGCGCACTTGCTTTCTCCATTTTATGAAAATCTTGTAAGCATTTAAGTGACAGCAAATTAAATGCTTTTGTGTATTTTGGGACAAAAGTTAATTTGCATTGACACAACTGTCAGCTATTTCCAGATCTCATAAACCTTGTATTGTATTACCTAAGTTTCCAAGCCAGGACTTGTTTTGCCAAAAACAACGGTAGACTTTTCAATTTCATGTCACGTTTGGTTTTAGGAGGAAAAGCTCATTTATTTGAATACGAAAACAAGAAACACTAATATGACTTACCGAAATACCACTATCAGCAAAGTCTTGCACTTTTTAAACACATAGCCAGCCTAAACTGGCCACTTTTTCCCGATTAGAATCAGCTCCACATTGGGGAGTGGGATACCAAATAATGCGTGAGCTATATCCCAATCCCAATTTCTTTCTACAGCATAATTGTGTTTGAGAGTGATCTCAAAATGCAACCATCTGCCTAAGAAAAAGGTGTGTTGAAAACTAAACAGCCAGCAAACTGGCTGTCTGGCCAACATGTAAGGTACTTCCAACCGTCTTTGAAAGCACACTAGACAACAGAGTGTACTCCTAACTTCGCCTACTGAGTGCCTGCGATGATGACCTCACTTCAGCAGACAAGATAAACGAATGCAAGACGTAAACCAGACAGCACGAAAGTGAATTAAAATGTGGTCACTGGGTGGAATACTACACATTTAAAGAAAAAAACCTATGCCGTTAGAGGTAAATCTGGAAAACTTACTGTAAAAGAAATGCACACCCTATAAAACAGTTATTTCAAATACACAGATACATATGCGATGAAAACACAATACATTGAAAGAACGCACACTATACGATGAATTCAAAGCAAACGTGAGTTTTAGCCATGACTGCATAAAGAGACAGGGGAAACAAGCCTCTCTTTGAAATAGGGAAAGTGCCAAGTCGGGGGCGAAAAGAGGTCTGAGAGAAAAGGCACGCATCCCGGAAGGGACAGAGAACATCCGGCGTGAAGGAGGCCGCGCCGCACTTACAGGTTAATGGTGCGCTCCAGCGTGAGGGGCTTGGTCTGCTGGATGTACTTGTTGCCGAACTGGTTGACCCCCCGGGGCCAGCCCGTCTGCGAGCGATTCGGCGGCACCACAGACATGCTGAACAGCTCCGACACTGGCGACGTGCAGAAATCGGGGCCAAGGGAGACGTCCGCGGGGCGGGCAGCGGTTAACTGCGTCCCGCTCAGCGACCGCCGCCCGCCATTAACAGCCGAGAGCAAGAGGAGGCTAATGCACGCCGGAAGTGGATACACTCCGGAAGCAGGAAGGAGGTAGTTCACCGCAATCATCCGACCAATTGCTGGCGTCCTGGCGCAGCATGGCGCTCTTCCACTGGTTAATCCTTCATTGGTACCGCCTCCATATACTTTTATGCCTTCCCATTGGGTAATGCTGGGGAATTGAGGAATAGGGCATTTGGGGAACTGTAGTTTCTAGAGGGAAGTAGCGTGCTGACTTTCCTGGTGTGGGTCTGAGCACGGTGAGCAGATGAACGGGAAGCGGCCCGCGGATCCCGGCCCTGCGCGGCCGATAAAGAAGGGGAAGAAGCAGGTAGCGGCTGAGTTTTCGGACGCTGTCACGGAAGAAACCGTGAGGAAGCAGGTGGCTGAGGCCTGGAGCCGCCGGACGCCGTTCAGCCATGGTAATGGGGTGCTGTAAGGGAGGAGCGGCCGCGAGAAGAGGTGTGGGGAGGATCGCAGCCACCTCCGACTGCTGCTCGGTTCATGCAAAATCTGCTTGATTAGACAAGCCTGGGTAGGAAACTAAACATAGGCCCGGGAGTGTGGGAAAGTGGAAGACAAATAAACTGCGGGTCGGATTCTAGAATCAGGGGTCACCCATAGAAATTCTCTGCTGATTGTACGTCATCGGGCAACGCATTTAACTTTGCTTAGGCGTCGGTTTCTTCTTTTATAAAACGGAATCGTTAATAGTATTCTCCTAGGAAAGGTGGGATCGACAAACTAATGCTTGTAGGCATTCATAAACGTTTCTCTGAGAACCAGTAAATATCTAACGAGGGTCACTCTCCGCTGTTGCATGAACGACTAACCACAGATGTTGAGAGCTGCCGGAGAGCAAGCACCTAAACTTACTAGTTTTCACGTGCCTGTCGTTGGCCTGTGTGACACATAAAATGAACACATCTTGAACCATTATTCCAGACTTAGCTACTCGGTATTACCTTATCTGGCTGGATGCATCTTGAATTTTCTCTTTTTTGGTTTTTCGAGACAGGGTTTCCCCATGTATCAGCCCTAGCTATCCTGGATTGTCTTTGTAGACCAGGCGGCCCTCGAACTAAGATCCGCCTGCCTCTGCCTCCCGAGTGCTGGGAGTAAAGGCGTGTGACACCACTCCCGTCGTCGTCATGAATTTTCTTCCCAGACTTGCCATGGTTTATTTGTTTGTTTCATTTGGGGGTTTAAAGAGGCCAACTCTGAGCTCTCAGGACACAGACAAGCGGATAATTTTGTGTTTAAAGTACAGGCTCTAGATGCTCAGAGACTTAGTTTCCTTGACTGTTGTTGCATAGGCACAGTGACAGTATTATCCTCAGTTGTAAATGAGATAATGCATGTAATGTACCACTAGGTCAGGCTTTTAGTAGGTCAGGATTAGTTATTCAGAATCTAATGGAAGCGAAATTAATTAGAAGAGGTTACAAACAAACTGATCCCACAGAAACTTGGGAAAAGAAAGGGCAGGATTGAGGAAAAATGGCCAGCCAGTTTTGCTACTCTCATATAATTTGCTATTCTTGTTTTACTTTGCTCTGGAAAACATGAGTTAAGAATCTGAAATGCATTCGATGAAAGAATTAGTAAACTAAAAACTTAAAAAAAAAAAGAAAGCTTCCATTAGTGATATCCCACACTCATTAAAGACTAGTATTTAAGCATAGTACCTGAGAAAAGTAGGCTTGAATGAGTAAAGGGATGATACAAGGTAAAAGTCTTCTCCAAATCTTAGACTTTAAATACTAAGTTACCAAAAAATTCATGATTGTCTCCTTTTGTATTCTGTTATGCTACTTGGTAATCAAAAGTCCAGAAGAGAAGAAAGACAAGGGTAATATTTTCCTTCCAACAGAAGCTATTACTTTGGACATGGATCCTTTTCTTCACTGTGTGATCCCAAACTTCATCCAAAGCCAAGACTTCCTGGAAGGACTTCAGAAAGAACTTCTGAGCCTGGACTTCCATGAAAAGTACAATGATTTATATAAGTTCCAGCAGGTATTTATTTCTATTACATTAGCTCTTCCTCCCAAAAATCCTTAAGTATCAAATCATTCATTGATGATGTCTGGAAAGATAGTTCAATGATTAGGAGCACTTTTACTCTCCCAGAGGACGCAGGTTCAATTCCCAGTATCGATATCAGGTGGTTCATGAACCTCTCAGATCACCCACATGCAATATCCACAGACAGGTACATATACAGACATATAATTAACTTTTTTAGAATTTCATTCTTTTTAAGACCCAAGGTTCTAGATTAGGTTTGCTTTAAAGTGTCTTCACCTTGGCATTGTTAAGCATTTTTTTCAACATAAGCTTATGGAGTGTTAACTGTGTGTTAGTTGCTGTGATGTCTCTAAGGGAGATTTTTAACAGTTTCTGCCTTCTCTCATCTACAGTAATAGAGATGATAGTGGCAGGAATAGTCAAGAAATGCCTTAAGCTGGTCAGAGCACACCATAAACAAAGGATGAAGTGTACTTGGGCTGGTGGCATGGTAAAGAATCTTGTATTTGAAGATACTGCCATTCAGACTTTTAAGTCCATGTCTTTGCTTTTGTGGCTTGATGCATTGCAGTTGCAATATTCTGTATTGCATTGCAGTTGCAATATTCTGTATTGCAAATATATCTAGAAGAAAGGGAAAACTTTTTCCTTTAGGGAATAGAAGTACTGGGTTTTGGGGGGGGTTGTTTTGTTTCATTTTTTTTTTTAGTTGTTTTTTGTTTGTTTGGGGGATTGTTTGAGACAGGGTTTCTCTCTGTAGTCCTGGCTGTCCTCAAACTCAGAGATCCACTTGCTTTTTAAGCCTCCTGAGTGCTGGGATTGAAAGGTGTGTCCCACCACAGCTTAGAAGGACTGCTGTTTTGATCCCAAGCCTTGAGTACCCTAAGCACATACTCTACCACTGAGTTGCATTCCCAACTCTCCATTCTTTTTTGGCGGACAGATAATTTAGCATAAAACGACTATGACTATCTTGAAATCAGAATTCTCTTTTCTACTCTTAGAAGACAGTCCTGTATAGCACAGAAATACAAGTCATTGGGTCCCAAGTGTGGAATCATCTTCAATGCTTGGATCATAAACCATCGAAGCTGTCAGGGTTTAAAATTTCAAAAAATGGCTAGAGAGATGGCTCAGCAGTTAAGAGCACTGGCTGCTCTTCCAGAGGACCTGTATTCTACTCATCGCACCTATGTGGTTGGCCATACCCATCTATCTATAACTCCAGTCCCAAGGAATCCAGTACCCTCTTCTGGACACAAAGACACCATGTGATACACATACATACATACAGACAAAGCACCCATACATGTCAAATAAAATTAAAATATTTTGAAAACTATATAAACATGAAACAGATGAAGATTTATCTTTGCTGTCTTTGCATTTTCCCTTTGATTTTATCTGGAATAAGAGAGTGATTAACTTTTTGGTTTTTTTGAGACAGGGTTTTTCTGTGTATCCTTGGCTGCCCTGGACTCTCTTTGTAGACCAGGCTGGCCTCAAACTTACAGAGATTTGCCTGCCTCTGCCTCCCAAATCCTGGGATTACAAGCACGCACCATCGGGCCTGGCTTAACATTTTATTTTACACTGCTGCTGATCATCTGGTCAGATGACAGTATCCTATCCCACTCTAATTTGTAGACCCTGTGCATATGATTGAATTGCCCAAACTAAATACTGGAGTGATGAGACACTCAAAAAATCTAATCCAAATCAAACTTTTATCTAAGTAAAGCTTATCAGGTTAATGAAAAACCACTCTTATCTGCTGTTATAATCATATCAATTTTCAACCCTAAGTAATCTCTGATTACCTAAATTGAGATATCTGTATGTATGTCTCCGTGTGTATGTGTCTGTCTGTCTGACAATGTAGATGTACATGTGTGCCATTTCTCAAGTACCATCCACCTTTATTTTGAATTAGAGTTTCTCACTGACCTGAAGCTTGAGTAGTCTAGGCTGGCTGACCAGTGAGCCCAGCATGCAAATATAATCACATGCCACCAGCTTTTTCTCTGGGTTCTGGGAATTGAGCCTAAGTCCTTGTGCTTACAAGGCAAGTATTATAATGACTAAGCTAGCTCCTCAACCCCAGAATGGTTTCTATGTGATGCTGTTTGACAAATGAAAGTATTTCATTAATATGAAGCCAGAATGAGGGACAAACAAAAAATGACTCTGGTGATAGAAAAAAGAGAAAGGCCATTACCTATTGTGAATAATTTTTACATTGCTCGCTTTCAGGCAAGATTTCACCTGTATACTTTGTCTTTGCATGTGCTATAAATTTAACAGATAATTGCATCTCTGGCATATTCCAGTAATGTAACACATCTGACATTAGGATCTGTGCAATATTCTATATATCTTAAGCATTATTAAGCCATACTTTATGACAGCTCAAGTGTTTTAGTCATGAAGTTATCATTAGAGTCCCGTGAAGGAAGTTTACTACTGTTCTGTTTTATAGATAGAGACTACAAAGTTTTTCCTTCTCTTCTAGATTATTCCCTTTAATATGACAATGATAACAAAAACCTGTTGGATTTTTTTTATTAATATTTTTAAAAGCTCTTTATTTAACTTCCCTTTCAGCTTGCTTGTTTTTGGGTTAGTTTGATTTGGTATTTGTTTGCTTATTTGTTTGTTTGTTTGTTTGTTTTGAGACTGGATTTTTAGATATAGCCTGAACTAGCCTCAAATTGTGACAGTCCTCCATCCTCTGCCTCTGAGTGCTGGGATCACAGCCTGTGACATCACACCCATTTAGCACTCTTCTTTAAAAGCTGTCCACACTGCTTCACATTCTTTCCTTTGTCCTTTTGTAAGCACATATTATCACACTCTTACCTTTACCAATCCACTGAAGCTACACTTATTATAGTCACTCTCAGCCTCCACATTAGTAAATATAGTCACTGATATTCTTTTTTTTTTTTTTTTAACGTGATTTATTTATTTATTTGGTTTTTCATGGAAGAGTTTCTCTGTGTAGCCTTGGCTGTTCTGGATCGCTTTGTAGACCAGGCTGGGGCTGGCCTCAAACTCACAGAGATCCACCTGCCTGGGCCTCCCAGAGTGCTGGGATTACAGGCATGCACCACCACAGCCAGCTATTCTTTGATTTTTTTCAGGAGACTGACAGTACCTGCTATGCTTCAAAGACAGGTAATCCTCGATCTTTTAGAAGCGTTTGTACTCCTTCCTAGAGACTATTTTCACTTTCCTCTCAGGGTACCATACTGCCTTAATTATTTTTCTGTTACTATGAAGAGAAACCATGGCCAAGGCAACTTATAGAAGAAAGCATTTAATGGGGGCTTACAGTGCCAGAGGGTTAGAGTCCATGGCCATGGTAAAGGAGCATGGCAGCAGGCAGGCAGGCTAGAGCAGAGGCTGAGAACTTGAATCGCATTCACAAGCACAAACCAGAGAGCCCTAACTAGAAATAGTGTGAGCTTTAACATCAAAGCTCACCCCTCGTGACACACCTCCTCCAGCATGGCCAGACCTGATCCTTCCCAGTAGTGCACCAGCTGGGAACCATGCATTTCAGTATATGAGCCTATGGCCGCTATTCTCATTCACAACACCATACATACTGCCTTAATTTTCCTCCTCTGACATAGAGCACTTTTTCTTAATCTCCTTATCTGGGTTTTTGCTTTAAAATCAGCATCTTTAAAATTTTTAATATTATTTGGGGAGGCATGGTGGCAGGGTCAATCAGAGGATAAGTTTGTGGAATTAGGCCTCACCTTCCAGCTTTACCTGGGTTCCATGTAGCAAACTCTGGTCACCATATTTTTACACAAACACTTTACACACTTAGCCAGTCCACATAACCAACTCCCCAATGATGGAGTCCCTCCTAATACCAGAATGCTCAAGCATTTAATATCTGAATTAAGACTGAACACAGATTTTCCTGGAGTCTCCTAGCTTTCTGTCTCCTCTTGGATGTCTAATAGTCTCCAGCTTAGGACCAACACTAAACTACTCTCCTTCCTCTAATTCTGTTGTTCATCTTTAACTCAGAGTCATTCTTAACTCCTTGGTCACTCTTCATGTCCAGTCCACCAAGGACACCTCCTTCACTGCATCCCAAAACTCCCTATTTCCACCATCAACAGCATTCACCTTGTCTAAGCCGTCTCTCTCACCATGATTAGCATATTAGTGAGTCTCCTATCTTTACCCACTTGTACAAATGTCACCATTATGTTCTTTTCATAGGTGGATTCAGAAGAATTGTAAAATATGTGTTCCCATAAAAACTTGCTTGTAGATATTCATATAAGTACTGTTTATAGTAGCCTCAATTGGAAGCAACCAGATGTCTATCCACTGATTAATGGGGAAACAAAGGCAGTATTCCCATCTGGAGGAGTATTGATCATAAAAAGGAAGTCAGAGCTACAGCATGGATGAACCTTAGAAACATTTTGGTAAATGATAAAAGCCAGAATCTGGGGCCAGTGAGGTGATTCAGCAAGTAGGCGTGCGTGCTGTTGAGTTCAGAGCCTTAAAAAGCTAGACATGGTGGCAAGCATCAGTAATCTCAGCCTCTGGGGAGGTGGGAGGTGGAGGCAGGAAGCCTGTGTGCCAGCTAGCCTGGAGTATGCAGTGTGGTAAAAACGAGAGAGACCTTACCTCAACAAGGTGGAGGGAGAGAACTGAACCCGGATGTCCTCTGACTGCCACATGTGTACCATGGCACAGCCATACCTACATTTTTACGCACACTAGTACACATACACACATAACTACTGATGATAAATATAAATAAAAATTTAAAATAGGAAGCCAAACTTCAAATGTTGCATATTATATGATTTCTTTTAAATGTCCGGAATAGACAGATAAATACAAAGCAGCAAGAAATGGGTGACACTTCTTAGAAAGGATGGAGCTGACTGCCTACTAGATAGAAGATTTCATTTTCTAGTGTTAAATTCTGGGTTTATTAAGCATGGTTGGCTGCATCATGAATGCATGAAACCCGTGGAATTATATACTTTCAAGTGATTAAAATGATAGATTTTTATACTATGAGGATATTCTCCCAAGATTATACCTCATGTTCCTCCTTTGCTTGAAACCTAATGACCCATGTACACTGGGTAAAAGCCAAAGTACATAGATTGGCTCCAGGCCAACATGATGCCTTGCATTAGGCCTTTGAGCCTCATCTCTTGCTCTCCTGCTTGCATTTCCCTGGCAGCTTAGCCACTCTACAGTATTTTGGATACATTTTGTTCCTCCTCATTGACATTTACTGTGGTTTCCCCCCCTTATAATTGCAGACCCTTCACTCTCAGCACAACCCGTTGCTCTTTCTCTGTAGTTTTCCTGTGCACTTGGCACCTTTATGCTGATAAATTACCATTTGTGTTTAATGTATGTGCCCGTCAACAAGCGTAAACCTCTTTGTGGTAACTCCTTGAGTATTTGTTGAGTGAATGAGATAGAAAGTCACTTGCCAATGGCAGAGCTGCAAGGTGGGATGGTCATGTGTCAGACCTCGCAGCTCCCTTCAGAGTCTCAGCTCTTAGCCACAGGGTTCTGCTATCAGGTGCTGTCAAGAGTCCTTACTGTTCCTCTTTTTTTTTTTTTTTTTTTTAAGTTTATTTATTTATTATTTATACAGTGTTCTGTCTGCAGGCCAGAAGGGGGCACCAGATCTCACTATAGATGGTTATGCGCTACCCTGTGGTTCCTGTGAATTGAACTCTGAACCTTTGGGAGAACAGCTAGTGTTCTTAACCTCTGAGCCATCTCTCCAGTCCCCTTACTGTTCCTCTTTACATCCAATATGCTGTAACAAGGAAATCCCTTTTTTTCTTTATAATCCAGTCTGATGATCTGAAGAAGAGAAAAGAGCCTCATATCTCAGCTTTAAGGTAAGCAAGTGATTATATTTATTGGTTGCCAATAAATGTGTTAGGAAGAGCTCTGAGTTTTAAATATTTACATAATTGCATTTGGTGACGGAGGCAACACACCCTAAGAAGCTAAATGACTACTTCAAGACAACCCAGCAGAAATGAGGGAGCTAAGATACAAATCCAAGCCTCCTCGCCCCCTTGATCACTGGTCATTTCTCCCCTCTTTCTTCCCTTTCTCTCTCCCTCCCTTCCTCCCTTTCTGTAGCAACAGATTTAGAAGTTGATAATATTAGTTGATTTTTTTCAGAAATATTTATCCTCCCCCTCCCCCTTAACATTACCATTGTCTGAAGACTAGTGTACTGGCTATGTTGGCCCATTCTGTATACTTGGCAGCTGTGCCTTTAGACATTACAGAATGCTTCTGGGGTTTTCCCAGCCAAGCACAATTTGTGAACTTAAGAGAGCATAGGAATGGCATGGCTCCATATGGAGCCCATGCTGTGGCATAACAAGCTGTCTTTGTTCCCACTTCTAGGAAACTTCTGTTTGAAGAATTTCGGGCCTGGCTTTCTAAGGTTTCCAGCATTGACCTAGAACCAACCATTGACATGTCCTGTGCTAAATACGAATTCACTGGTAAGGAGGATAAAGCCCTGCTGTGTAAAGACTTCAAGGTTTGAACTCCACAGTGGTGGAGAGATAACATCAGTGTAACAGTTCGCCTCAGGGCCTTCCCAGCAAGGACTCAGCCCACATGCAGGAACAGCTGTCATATCAGAAAGCGTAAGATTCTTTGTGGGTGCATGAGAGCTACTGAGCATATTTTCAGAAGAAATTCTCATACCAACTTGTGTATAGTATTGTAAGACACAAAAGGTGATGCTGTGAATTCTGTGCTTAGACTTCTGAAAGTTCCCAGCTGCTTTGGTGGTGGTTTTCCTTCACTTTATTTTGTATTTGGTGAGTGAACACAGGAAATGGACCGTGTAAATAGTAATAATTCCTGTCCCCTGACTTCCCTCTTCAGAGGCTTCTGTTGCCTTCCCCGTCAGAATTCACAAATGTGCACTGGCATGTGTGTGTATTGTTAAATACAAGGAAATATTGCTTGGTTTTACTTTACTAAATGTTTGTTTGTTTGTTTGTTGTTTTTAATTTATTCACTTTGTATCCCAGTTGTGGCCCCCTCCCTCCTCCCCTCCCAATACTGCCCTCCCTCCCTCTTCTCCCCCTATGCTGTTCCCCTTATCCACTGATAGGGGAGGTCCTCCTCCCTTTCCCTCTGACCCTAGTCTATCAGGGTCAGGTCTCATCAGGACTGGCTGCATTGTCTTCCTCTGTGGCCTGGTTAGTCTGCTCCCCCCTCAGGGGGAGGTGATCAAAGAGCCAGCCACTGAGTTCATGTCAGAGACAGCCCCTGTTGGATTCCACTTTGCTGTCATATATGGTCTTGAGGAAGTCTAAAAACATTCTGGAGATAAACTTAGTAATAAAGGTGGAAAATTATTCTGTATTTTTATAACTTTTTCTTATTGTTGTATTTTCTTTGAGACAGTGTCTCACTCTGTAATCCAGCCTGGCCTCAGTCTCACAGAGACCATCTATCTGCTCATTCTCTTTGGTGCTGAGATTATTGGTGTGAGCCACCACTTCCAGCTTTTCTGTTTTTAAATTTAAACTAATTTTAAGTGTAAACAAAAGAAGCAGGCATAGCACACATAATTTGTTTCCCTGCTTCACTTGAAAGGTGGTTGCAGTCCTATGATTCTGTAGGCCTAAACATTTCAGTCATTCTTTTCCCATGGCAGCAATGAACTTTCAGAGTCAGAAGATTGACAGGCCAGTGTTGTTCCATCTAATTCATAGGCCTTGTTCACTTGTCACATTTGATCCTTGATGCAGAAGGATCTAGCTGAGGATGGCACACTCCATCAGTTGTCCTATCTATTGATCCTCCTTTAGTCTAAATAGGGTGTTGGTCTCTTCTGCCCTTCCTGGACCTTGATGCTTCTGAAGATGTATAAACGGTTATTTTTCACAACTCCTTCTGTCTGGTTTATCTGGTGTTTCTTTATGATTGGGTGATTCTCTTTGTGTGGGCAAGTGAGCCGTGGGACATGTATTTGGAAGGAGTGTAATAGTTGGTGCTGAGCTTTCTGTTTCCAAATCCTGCTAGATGGTTCAAAGTGACTCTGTGTCACATTCGTAGACTCTGTGTCATACTCGTAGTGATGTAACCTTGGATGAATTACAGGGAGCCTAGTGTCAGATGGCCCATGCTTTGCTTTCCCCATCAGTGCACAGTTTGTGGCAGAAGCTTTTGTTGTTTGTCTTGCTGCTGGGATTGAACCTAGGGCCTCAACTTGCTAAGCAGGCAGTACCTCTGAGCTATATCCTCAGTCTTTTTCTCCCAACTTTTTTTTTTTTTTTTTTGAGTTGGCATCTAACTTGCCTGGTTGCCTTTGAACCCACCCTGTAGCCTAAATTGGCCTTAAACTTGATTCTCTTGCTCAACCTCTGCAGTACGCAGGATTATAAGGCTTTGCTACCAGACCTGACTGTACAGATTGTGGAAGTCAAGCCAAGAACCTCAGAAATGCTGCTTTAAGATTATGTAATTATACACACACACACACACACACACAAATGTGTACACATAATATTTATGCATTTATATATACCTATATATCAGAGGTTCAGGAAACTGAATTCACATTGCTTTCTCCAGTACGAGTTGAATACTACAAAGTTTATTCTAGTTTTTTTTTTTATCTTATCAGTAATTCCCTCCTTCATTTGTGCAGCACTTAGCTACCATTTTCTTCAAAATATTTATTTATTGGACCAATCCGTTCATATATAAATGGCCCCAGTTCACTGTAGCCCTTTGCCCTGTCCCATGCTGCATAGATGCCTGCCTTGCTCAGCTTTAGAAAGTTAAGTTAGGCAGTTAATGAGAACAAGAACAAAGAAATCAGGCCAGGGAGATGGCTTGGTTCAGTGGGTTAAAAGCACTTACCACAAAACCTGACAATCTGAGTTCAATTCCAGGGATCCATATGGTGGAAGGAAAGGACCAACTTTGGAAGTTATCCTCTGATCCACATGTTCCCCTCCTGCCACCAACACACACAATAAATTAAAAAAATTTTAAAGAACAGTGAAGTGTATACCAATGAACAGTAATATTCATTAAGGCATTCTTTGAAATAGCCAAGAAATACAAACAAATTAATAGCAAATAGAAATGCAATTAAAGAGAGGGTAAATTTACAATCTACATAGTACAGTAACTGGGCAGCCATTAAAAGTGATGTCAAGTGTATATACTGATATTTGAAAAAGTCGGCCTACAACCCACCACCATAGCATACCATTTTTTTAAGTGAATACACATATGAAGGGAAAATACTGCAAAAATATGTGGAAAAATAGTGTTCATAACTATATTGTAGATCTCTCTATATTCCATTATGTTTAAAGTTTTCTATCTTGTCTGAAACTTACTGCCACATTTACAAAAGAGAAGTGTCATTTTAAAATGGCAAGACAGTTAAATCTGGAGTTGGTATGTCAGGGGACCGACTGCAGAAGCAGATAGCAGCCACTGTGTGTGCAGGGATCTAAATTATGCTTTAAATGATTGCAGATGCGCTGCTCTGCCATGATGATGAGCTGGAGGGGCGCCGGATTGCCTTCATTTTCTACCTGGTTCCTTCCTGGGACAGGAACTGGGGGGGCACCCTGGACCTTTATGACACTGATGGTAAGATGCACACTTAGCACCTTCAAGAGTCACTCCTGAATTCCAAGCATTTGCCTCAGGACCACCATTCTGACATATAATGTGTCAAAGGAGAAAGAAAGCATGTATTTATCACAGTGACTGCCCCTGGCAGAATTCATGCTAGCTCAACAATTACCTCTTGAGTTACATTTCAAGTTACTTCTCCAGAGAAGGCAGATTGAGATGAGTAGATCTTGCTTTTGTGTACTGACCATGAAAGGGTAAAAAGCATACCAAGCTGCCTGTGCCTATGAGTCTGCTAACAGCGGCCTGTTTGACGAGAGATCAGGGCTTCTGAGTGACTCACCATAGGGTGAGTCCAGGAAAATGAGAACTTAATCTAGTTCTCATCAGTAATAGATGGACATTGTGGTGGAAAGACATGTCACCCACCTAAGCTGGCAAGTTTGAGCGACACGAGTGGAAGGGAGTATGTGGAGAGCTGGAAGAGGCAGCCAGAAGGTGTTAATGATAATGAACCGTATTTATGGGTGTCTTCTCTCCTGACGCAGAACACTTGCAGCCAAAGCAGATTGTCAAGTCTCTTATCCCTTCATGGAACAAACTGGTTTTCTTTGAAGTGTCTCCAGTATCCTTTCACCAGGTAAAGATAGTGAAACAAATGTATAGTGCACTAAGGACCAAGGATCTTGTTTTCTGAACTCCTAGTACCTAGTTATGTCTGCTTCCTGTTGGGCCTGCTGTCTCACCAGGTTTTCATGCCTCGCTTGATAGATCTCAAGTTAACATGCCTTGTCTAGTGTCTTCACTCTTCATCCTGTGTTGATGTGCTGCTGGTCTTGCTCTTGCAGGTATCTGAAGTCCTGTCTGAAGAAACAACACGTTTATCTGTAAGTGGCTGGTTTCATGGTCCTTCACTGACCAGGCCTCCCACCTACTTTGAGCCACCAATCCCTCGAAATCCTCACATCCCACAAGACGTAAGCATAAATTACCAGATTTTTTTGTCATACATACTATAGCATATAAGTTGGTTTTCTGATTTTACTTTTGTGAGGCCCGTGTGAGCTGACATGTATTTTGCAGTACTAGAGATTAAACCAAGGGCCTTGTATATGCTGACCAAGCACTCTTCCAATGAACTATTCTCAGCCTGTTTTCTGATGTTAAAATTAGATTTTGCCATTGCTGAAACTAGACTTAGATAAATTTTGATAATGTTTTTCTCAGAGTTTTCTAGTACTTTTTGTTTGATAAGAGAAACATAAAAAAGTAAGGAATGTGGAATAATGGAAAAACAGAAGCTATAGATACTAATAGATCATGGATCTGCTGCTTTTTTGTAAGCATGAAATTTTATACGAGTGGATCAACCCTGCTTATCTGGAAATGGATTATCAAATGCAAATTCAAGAAGAATTTGAAGAAAGGTCTGAAATTCTCTTAAAGGAGTTTCTTAAGGTAGGCTACCATACCCTGTTTTATATATATTATTTTATATGTAATCTTGCAAAAATTGAAAGCACCAAGAGTTATTTTCTTTCCTAGTTCAGATATTTATGTAATTCTCTTCAAATACACAAACTATATTGCTGACAGATGTATGGATGACATCCTTGAAACTTTTTTTTAAGTTTATTTTTTGTTTTTAAATAAAAACATATATGTATACACACATGAATATGGGTGCGCAAGGATGCCAGAAAAGGTCATCAGGTCCCCTGGAACTGAAATTACATGTAGGGGTCCTCTGTAATAAGCACTTTAAGCAACTCACCTGCCTAGGACATATAATGCTCAGTGTGCTCACACACGTTTCTGCCATAAAGGGGACTTGGTACCTAGTTTATTTTCTTTCTATTTGTTTAATTAATATGGTATTCATTAAATTTTTAATAGACAGATTGCTATTTATAGTTGATCTAATAGTGAATGTTTGACCGTCATGAGGCAACTTGAGTAGAGAGCTAAAGTCAGAAGTCATGTCCTGGCTCAGGTTTCCCTAACCTGAGCAAACCGCTCTCACTGGGTATTCACTGTATTATTGGATACAGTGGGATTATTCCTGCCTTGCCTTTCTTGCAGAGTTGTGAGAGCTATGTGAGCTTGCTGATAGAGCACTTTGTGAATACTGTGGGTACATGACTACACATTCCCAAGAGATCTTGCTCCATGAAAAAGGTGAAGGGGTTCTGCAAACTGACTCTGTCAGAATTTCACAGCTGGCATTGAATGTTACAGAATTTAAGAGGTATTATATTGTTATAGAAATAATAACAACTGCCTGTAACTCCATTTCCAGGGAACCCGCTGCCTCTTCTGGCCCCCAAGGGCAATGCACAAATGCATAGAAATGAAGGCAAAACACCTACATACCTGTAATAAATAATAAATAAAATTTTAAAGTAAAGCCTCTTATGGATATATTTCTATAGAAAGCCAGTTTCTTATATTTGACTACTTAAAATTTAAAAGTTTATTAAATAAGACAAGCTGGGACCAAGAATATAGTAAGAATTTTGGAATTTTGTTTTAAAAAAACAAACAAACAAACAAAAAGGTTTAAGAATATGTTTTCATTTTGATCCCAGGTGTGAGAATATGGGGCTGCGTCACAGCAGATGACTATGATTTGCCTTGTGCTCTAGCAGGGGGTATGATTTTTTTTCCAGCTGCAGATAGTTTTTGTGATTGTGTGACATTTGGAATTCTGGGGACTTTTAGGGAGTATATAAGTGCTAGGGCCCCAGAGGTGGTGTGTGAGTGTGTGGGGGGGGTTCATTGTTGGTTGCCATTGGTCACAGTTTTTATTCAGTAATCGTGAACAAAGAAAAAACACAAAGAAGAAATTCGATATTCTGAAGACAAAGATCAAACTTGCCCCAAGGAACGCAACAGCCCTAATCAGCAAGAAGTGGTCTAACAGTAATGCCGCCCCCTTTCCAACCAGTAATCTTTTTCCTTTCTTCTCTAACCTTTTCTCTCTTATCTAGTGTTAGGGAGTTGAAAGGTGGAAGAAAGAATCCAAGAGTTAGTGTCACTAGAAATTTGAGATTTAGTGATTAGCAATTTAACATAAGTTATTCAACCACTAACTGCTGGAGATGGTTCAGTGAGTAAGACCATTTGTTTCATGAATGCAGATCTAAGCTCAGATCCCTAGCACCCATGTGTTCATGTGTTTGTTTGCTTTTTTTCTGAGGCTAGAGACAAGAGGGTTGCTGGAATTGCTGGCCGCCTACCTAGTGGGGAGAGAGTCTGGAAGCACAAGCTTCAGTTTCAGTGAGTGAGCCTGCCTGGATGAGGTCCTTCTCTGGCTTATACACACCCACCATGCATGGGTGCATGTTTTCATGTGCACACAGCCCCATTCATCACATGCATATGTGCAAATAAAAATCATTAATGATGAATTTACAAACACGGAATAGCCCAATGACATTTGGCTCTCTTTGCTAAAGCTGCCTCAGAGATCTTGTATGAAAAAGGAAATATTCAGCCAGGCACAGTAGCACACACCTGGAATCCCAGCACTCAGGGAGACCTCTCTGAGTTCAAGGCCAGCCTGATCTACAAAGTGAGTCCAGGACAGCCAATGCCACACAGAGAAACCCTGTCTCAAAAAAAAGGAAAGGAAAAGGAAATATTCAAATGGACTTCTTAGGAATCAGCCAGCTGATATTCTACAGAGCTGCTTCTCCTGCTAGAATAATGAGGAGTTGCAGGAAGACTTGCTAACTTTTTTATTTGCTTTTTTTCCAGCCTGAGAAATTTGCAAAGGTCTGTGAAGCCTTGGAGAAAGGAGATGTGGAATGGAATAGCCGTGGTCCCCCAAACAAAAGGTAGAGGTCACCATAACAGGTGGTTCCATCTGTGCTCATCAGCTCCCTTCATCAGCATTAGGTCATCTCCAGTAGGATACTTGCCTTAACATTTACTTCCCCAGGACATGCTGTAGTAAGGCCTAGCAGAGTCTCACCATTCTGATAATGGTACCATCATTTAGCAAGAAAGGTTCAAAGCTCATTACCAGCTTTGATTGCATGGGTAATCTCACATGTGGGGCTGAGGAGCTTACCATTGCTGCTTTTCAGGTATTATGAAAAAGCGGAAGAACGTAATCTCCCTGACATACTGAAGGAGTGCATGGGCTTGTTTCGCTCAGAGGCGCTGTTCTTGTTGCTCTCCAACTTCACTGGCCTGAAGCTTCACTTCTTGGCCCCTTCAGAAGAAGATGAAGCTGACGACAAAGGAGAGGGAGAAGCAGCCTCTTCTACTGATGCCACTGAAGAAGGGACTAGCCAAAGCCCTTCAAGGCCTGAGAAAAACCAGGCAGCTATTGGCAGCCATAGTGAAGAGAGTGGTGAACAGGCAGACCTGGAACTACAGGAAGATGAAGCAAAGAAAGGTAAGCTGGTGTTAGGGCTCACCTTTATTTTTACCTGAAACCATTCTGCATTCAGATAGTTGCCAGACTCAAATGATATATCCTTATCCGTGTAACAGATCCTTCCTTCACATCTACTATTGCACTGTCTCCACCTCACGAACAGGAAAAAAAAACAAAGTCAGCTCTCCTGGATCTTGAGGTTTTTCTAGGAGATGTCAGAGGTCAGATTTACACACAGAAAACAAAGAAGCACCAAACAATGCTTACACACCATTTTATGTTTATTTCCATCTTACCGCTGCTACTGTCCTCACTCTAATAAAGTGTCCTAACTGTTCTTTTCCCGAAAATGCTCTTCCTTCATTTCTTCTTCTCATTCAGCTCTGAGCAGTGGCACTTCCTCACAGAAGCTTTTCCATATCACCATCTCCCCTGAAGCTGCTCAGACATAGCCATTACAAGGCTGTGTACATTCTGCCACTGTCTCTGAATTCACAGGCTGCCATAATCCCTGCATTCCTATGTGCATCGGTCCTGTTGTGTCTAGAGTGATTTAGATTTTTATGTATTTGGAGTCATCTATCCCCTTTGGCTTTTCACAATCTTTTTGTCTTCTGCATAGTTCCCTGGACCCTGAATAGAGGGTTTGATGAAGACATCTCAACTGGGACTGAGTGTTACAAAATCTCTCAGTCACTCCATATTGTCCAGGTATTGATCTATGGGAGTAGCAGAATACCATTAGGAGTCATTTTATTGATATGTTCCTTTAACAGAATAGTAATACTTGGTTTTCCCTTAGACCTGTGGTCTATCCAGTCTTGAGTTTTGGGCCACCTGCACAGTGTCAGTCATGGGTTCCATCCTGTGGAGTAGACCTTAAATCCCATCAGAGAGTGGTTGGTTGGTTGATTACTCCCGTAGTTTGTGCCACTATTACAGTGACACATCTTGCAAACAAATCACCCTTGTAGATCACAGAGCTTTGTGGCTGGGTTAATGGTTACCCTTTCTTCTCTGATAGCATGCAGAGTTCCTTCCAGTACCATGAACATAATTAAACAGGGGTGAAGCATCAAATTAGGCACCAGCTTGACTTTTCCATGTTCAGTGAGATAGGTAAATGCTGTCTTTAGTAATAGGAACTTACCTTCAGCTTGTGGAGAGTGACCAATAGCCTGAGATGTTTGGGCATTTCCATAGAGATGCTTTGGCCAGAGACTCAACTGGATGTAATCCATTTCTGGCACTGAAGGTTTTACTTGGTGGCAAAAAATGTCTAGTTTGGATATTGTCTACTCCATTCTTGTTGACTCCATTCATATTTCTTGCATATATTTTTCTATCTTAAACTTCTAGCCAGGCATGGTGGCACACACCTTTAATCTCAGTACTCAGGGAAGCAGAGGCAGAGGCAGGCTGATTGTTGTGAGTTCAACGCCAGCCTGGCCTGCCAAGCAAGTCCAGGACAGCCAAGGCTACAAACAGAGAAACCTGTCTCAAAAAAAAAAAAAAAAAAAAGGAAACTTCTACAGTAGTAGGTTCCATATGTTCCCTCAAATGTCCCTTAGTGTAAGTTGTCCCTCCCCATATCTCCAGTGATCTAGTCTCCTCTTCCTTTTAGTCCCTCACTCTACCTCATCTCCGTGGTTATATTATATGTGTTGTAGCATCGAATGCTTAAAAAGATGACGTACAGTACTTGTCTGTTGGGGTCTAGTTTACCTCACCCAGGATGATTTTTTTCGAGCTCTATCCATTTACCTGTAAATTTCATAATTACATTTTTAACAGCTAAGTAATATTCCATTGTGTAAATAGAATAATAGTTATTGGTTAATAGAGTGAGGACAGTAGCAGCAGGTTCCATTTTCTAGTTATTGGTTATTAGAGTGAGGACAGTAGCAGCGGGTTCCATTTTCTAGTTATTGGTTAATAGACGTGTAGACTGTTCCCAATTTCTGGAAATTTAGGGCAGAGCAGCAGTGAACATGAAGGAGTAATATATCTCCAGTAGAAGGTAGAGTCCTTTGGGTATATGCCCAAGAGCAGTAGCAATTTCTCTCTCTCTCTCTCTCTCTCTCTCTCTCTCTCTGTGTGTGTGTGTGTGTGTGTGTGTGTGTGTGTGTGTGTGTGTCCCCGAGACAGGGTTTCTCTGTGTAGTCTTGGCTGTTCTAGGCTCACTCTGTAGACGAGGCTGGCCTCAATTCACAGAGATCTGCTGCCTCTGCCTCCCAGGAGGCTGGGACTGCAGGCTTGTGCCACCGCCGTCAACTGGCTATTAGTAGCCATCTCGAGGTAGGTCTATTCCCAGCTTTCTGAGGAACTGCCACACTGATTTTCATGGTGGCTGTACAAGTTTGCACTTCTGCCTCCAATGAATAACGTTCTCTTTTCCTCACATCCTTGACAGCATGCGCTATCATTTGTTTTCTTGCTCTTGACCATTCTGAATGGTATAAGGTGAAAATCTCATTAAGTTTTTATTTTCAGTTTCCTGATGACTAAGGATGATGAATGTTTCTCTTTCTTAACCATTTATGTTTCATCCTTTGAGAACACTTGGTTTAGTTCTGTACCTTGCTTTTGGTGCATAAATGTTTAAGATTCCAATATCCTCTTTGTGGATTTTTTCCTTTGAGTTTTTAGTGTCCTTCCTTATGTCTTCTGATTAGTTTGGGTTTGAAATCTCTTTTCTCAGATACTAAAATGGCTACACCTGCTTTCTTCTCGACTCCATTTGCTTAGAATACCTTTTTTCATCCTTTTACCCTGAGGTGATATCTATCCTTAATAGTTTGGTATGTTTCTTGAATGCAGTAGAAGGATGTATCCTGTTTTCCCATCCATTCTTTTAGTTTGTGTCTTTTTAGGAAGAATTGAGACCATTGATATTAAGAGTTATCAATGAGCAGTGTTTATTGATTATTGATTCCTATTATTTGTTATGGGGTGTGTGTGTGTGTGTGTGTGTGTGTGTGTGTGTGTGTGTGTGTGTTTTCCCTTCTTTCAATTGACTATCTGAAATTATCTACTTCTTGTTTTTCTGTGTATGGTTAACCTCTTCAAACTGAAGTTTTTGTTCTGCCTTCTATAGAGCTGTATTAGTAGGTAAGCACTACTTAAATTCAGTTTTTATCATGGAATATCTTATTTTCTCCACCTATGGTGATTGATAGTTTTGTTGGGTATAGTAATCTGGGCTGCCATCTGTGGTCTCAAAGGGTTTATAGAACATTCATTCAGGCTCTTTGGGCTTTTAGAGTCTCCACTGGTATGTTAGGTGTTACTCTGTTGGGCCTGCCATTGTATGTTGCTTAGTCTTTTTTCTTTTTCCCTTGCAGTTTTTTTATTTTTTTATTTTTTCTTTGTTCTGTATATTAAATGTTTTTATTATTATGCATCATGTGGAATTTTTCTGGTCCTGTTTATTTGATGATCTATATGTTTCTTGTACCTTTATAGGCATTTCCTTTTTTACATTGGGAAATTTTTCTTCTATGATTTTTGTGGAAAATATTTTGGTTTTGACCTGAATTTCTTCTCCTTTTTCTATTATTATTTGTAGATTTGGTCTTTTCATAGGGTCCTATGTTTCCTGGTTGTTTTATGCCTAGACTTGTTTGCTTGCTTGGTTGGTTGGTTTTTTTGTTTTTTTGTTTTTTGTTTTTTTTTTTGAGTCAGAGTTTCCAGGCTTGGCTGTCCTGGAACTCACTCTGTAGATCAGAGGCTGGCCTCAGATTCACAATGATCTGCCTGCCCCTGCCTGCCAGGTGCTGGGATTAAAGTTGTACACACTGCCAGGTGTGTCTGAATTTATTTTAGATTTAACATTTTCTTTGACTGAGGTATCAATTTTTTCCATTTTGTCTTCAGGGCCTGGAAATTTGTCTCTTCCATGTATTGTACTCTTTTGGTGAGGCTTGTCTCTGAGGTTTTTGTTTGATTTTCAAAATTTTTCCTTTCCAGTTTTTCAGATTGGGTTTTCTTTAATTATTCTATTTCAACTTTCATGTTTTTGAACTGTTTTTATTATTTCATTCCACTGTTTCTTTGTATTTTTGTAGACTTCATTAAAAGATTTATTCATACACTCTTTAAGGTCCTTGAACAATTTCATAATTGAAGTCCTTGTCTCGTTCTTCAGCTATATAGTATCTCTTAGACCCTGCTGTAGTAGGATTACTGGGTTCTGGTGCAGGCATTTGGTCTTGACTCTCCATGTTTGTATCTTTGTGCTGATGTCTAAGCATCTGTAGTTAAGATTGAAGTGATTGGGGGGCTGGAGAGATGGCTCAGTGGTCAAGAGCACTGCTCTTCCAAAGCACCTGGGTTCAATTCCCAGCACCCACATGGCAGCTCAAAACTGTCTGTAATGCCAATTCCAACGGATCTGACACCTTCACACTAATACTCATAAAATAAAATTAAATAAATTTAAAAAAAAAAGATTTTTAAAAAAAAGATTGTAGGTGTTGATATCTGGTCTTGTCTTTGATGGATGGGTATTCCATTTCTTGGTTTCTGTTGTCCTCCCTGGCTCTTAGGAAAGAGTGTAGAGAGTGCCTCTGCAGGTCGATGGGTGACAGAGAGGAACTGTGGGAAAGAGCTAGGGCATCCTGTCCATACCAAGAAGCAGGGTTCTCAGGGAGTATGGTGGGGGGAGTGGCTCTTAGGACGAAGATTATATCTGGAGAAACAAGGATGAAAGGGCTAGGGGAACCCTGGGTCTGTACCAAGAGTTGGAGTCCTCAGTGAATGGAGGTGGGGTAAAAGAAGGGGCCGCTGCAGGCAGGCTGTTGCAAGCTGAAGGTGAGTAGAGAGATTGTAATAGAGACCAGAAAGGAGAGTGAAAATCCGCTTACCTGAGTCCCATACTATTGTGCTCACTGGGAATCCCAGGCAGAAAGTGTTTCTAGGTGTCTGCAGCTGACACAAAGGAATGTGGTCAGAGTAGAAGGGAGGGCCGAGAGGGTCCTCAGGAAGGTGCTAAGCAAGAGGCAGTGGTGTCCCCCACAAATTCATCTTACTTTAAACTTTGTAAAATGTTTTGTAATTTTGTGGTTCTTGCTTTTCTGGCACTGGGAATGGAATCTAAGATTTGGCCATGCCACACAAGCATTATACCACTGAACTCTTTCTCTAACCCATGGACTCTATGAAATATTTTACTGCTCAAAGCTGGGTGTGATGGTACATTTGTAATCCCATAATTCCGGAAGCAACACCATCTCAGCAGAGAAAGATTAAAACTCAACCTTTACCTCACTAAATACTAAGACCTAATAACTTCTGACTGTTACAAGACCTTACAGTGGGCCTTGCAGTCAAGCATTTGTATTAAAGTTGTAAAAAATTTGCTGGGCATTATTTTGTGTTTTCTTAGAATTGAGTGTCCCCATGTGCCAGGGGGAGCTGAGGCACTGGAAGACTGGTCACTACACTTTAGTTCACGACAACAGCAAGACTGAGTTTGCCTTGGACCTGTTTCTTTACTGTGGCTGTGAAGGTAGGAAGGACCAAGGTGATGAACTGTCTCCTTAGTTTAGGCAGGCTCTCCTGAGGGACTCTCCAACTGATCCAACTCATAAGTCCTTTCCTGTGACCACGGTCTCAGAATTCTAAAGGATGTTGGGGGTGGTGAATTTCAGTCTCCCCAAATAAGATTTCTATCTGGGTATGGAAAGGCAAACCATGCCTTATTTTTTCCCTAAATCTCCATCACAAGCATGGAGTCCATGATTTTTCAATATAATTGCCCTTATCAGTATGGCTAACATTTAATTCCTTTAGTTCTCTCTTTCAGTGTTAGTAAATCTGTGTTTCAGTTCGGCTGTCTGGAAAATTGGGCATTTAATGGGAAGGGAATCCATAATAGCAGATGCTGACCTTCAATACGAAAGTCACAGAGCCCTTGCTACTCAGCAGGTAGTCTTCTTGCAGTGGGAGCTCAGTGCTGTTTGTCTTTCCCTTGTCAGGCTGGGAGCCAGAATATGGCGGCTTTACTTCCTACATTGCTAAAGGTGAAGATGAAGAGGTAAGTGGCTTCTTTCTCCTAGCAAGTTCTCCTTTCTAGTTCTTGAAAAAGTTCTGTTTTTTAGACACCTAATAATTTATTTACTTATTGGTTTTGATTTTGGTTTTTTGAGGCACGGTCTTACTATCTGCCCAGGCTGGCCTAGAACTCTCTGTCACCCAGACTAGCCTCATACTTGCCACAATACTCCTGCCTCCATCAACCAAGTGCTGTCATTACAGGTATGAGCCACCACAATTGGCAAGATACACAAATTTTATTACCTCTCCCAGTGTTTTAAGCTCATAAATCCATGTTGGCCTCCTTCAAGGTGGCTCTAATTTTATAGGAAAATACTCCGCTTGCAGTAAAGCTGTGAAAGGAAAACCAACACATATTTTCCTACGTTACATAGAACCTTTGCGTTAAGAGGCTCTTGCTCACTAATCTTTCTAGGTAGCTGATAACAAATGCTTTTCTGAGTATGTGCTAGTGAGGATGAGCCTGTTGGAAAGTGTCTTCACAGAGAAAAGCGTGTCTCTTAATAAAGAGTCTTTGAAACCTCATCCCCAGCGTAAATACTCACCATGGAAACCACTTGGTGTGTGGGAATCTCTGCAGAGCTGGGAATGAGCCCTGCGTTCTGATTTGCCTCGTGTTTCCCATTTCAGCTGCTCCTAGTGAATCCAGAAAACAATTCTTTGGCATTGGTCTACAGAGATAGAGAGACTCTGAGGTTTGTGAAGCACATTAACCACCGAAGCCTGGAGCAAAAGAAAACTTGCCCAAACAGAAGTGGCTTCTGGGACTTTGCATTCGTCTATTATGAGTAACAGGATTGGGCAAAGCCAACTACCATTCACTTCATCTGTGCTGGGAAACCTGGAGTCTTCACGGAGGAAGAAAAGCATGCAGGCTAACAGTGTCCTCAAAACGGACTGTCCCTGCTGGGCGTGCTGGTGCACATCTGTAATGCCCCTCCACTTCCTAGGTCAGTGTGGTCTACAGAGGCCCCAAACAAAAGTTGGTCATTCTATATAGAACGCATGATTGTCCTCAACCTGGACATTGAGCTGGCGTGATGTACGTATCCCTTGGTTTGGGGTTTCATGACTTTATTTGTTTTATGTATGTGAGTGCTCTGTCTGCATGTACACTGCATGCCAGAAGAGGGCATCAGATTCCAATATAGATGGTTGTGAGCCACCATGTGGTTGCTGGGAATTGAACTCAGGACCTCTGGAAGAGCAGGCAGAGCTCTTATCTGATGAGCCATCTCTCCAGCCCATTCCTTGGGTTGTTTGTTTGTTTGAGGTTTTTTGTTGTTTTAAATTTTCCCCATTCCATTGAATTCTTTTGATTACATAGTGACTGCCTCAGCAACTTTCTAACTTTGATTTTTTTTTTTTTAATGATGGTAACATATATATAACACAAAATTTAGCAAAGTAACTTTTTTTGTTCTTAGTTTGAGGTTTTTGTTTTGTTTATCTTTTGATGGGGTTTTACCTTGTAGCCCAGGCTAGCTCTGAACTACTGATCCTTCTACCTCACCCTCCCAAATACTGGAATTACAGGCATGAGCCGCCATAACCCATCCATGCTTGCATGTATAGGTCGGTGGAACTGAGCATACTGCCAGTGCTTCAAAGCTGCCTTCACTGCCATATGGAGAATATCCCCATCCAAATGTGATGTGAAACTCCACTGAACAGTCAGTCTCCACTTGCTTTTGCCCCTTTTCTAGTAATCTGACATATTAGTGAATCAGATATTTATCCCTTCGTAATTGGCTTCCTTCACTTAGCACAAAGCCTCAGTGTTCACTGGTGTTTCCAATATTTTTCTTTCTCACTCACAAGTGGCAGTAGAAACATTTGTAACCCTCTTCATTACGGAGTCTGAAGGTTGTGACACAGTTGGAGCCTTTACTCTGCTCCCCGATGAGGGCTGAGTTCCACCCTGTCAGTCAGGATAAGGTAGACTCAGGTGGGTAGTGTTGTTCCCTTGGGAAAGGTCTGGCTGAAAACTAACATGGCCTCAGGAATTATGGCGCTGATAGAGGACAGGCTGCTTACCGCCCTATGTATTCATTCTCAAGTGTCTACTACCTTCTAAACCTGGCGCTGTGGCTCCTGTGAGTCTAGGCCCCCAGTGACAAACCCAATGCGAAAAGACAGAGTCGGAATTGCAAGAAGTCCTCCTTTTGCTTGCATTGTTCTCCGCCAGCTGCTCCATGGGGCTGTGGTACCGCTCTTCCCACTGTGGGAGTATGCATGATGGCTGAAGATGATCTCACACTTCCCCATACCATGCCCATTTACCACTTTCTCGTTTTCTGAGTATCCTTACAGGTTTTGGTGTAGACTTTACTTATTAATAGAGAAGTGCTGGCCCTTTCAGTTTCTCATTCTCGCTTCTTTTTCATGTCCTAAAACTCCATCCAGATACCGTCTGTCTTTTGGGTTGCTGGGTTTCAATTTATTTGCCCCATTTATTTAACATTCATTGCCATTAGGATACATACAAGTTTTACATGTTCTGATATTAATCATAAAACAAAGTAATTTTTAAATAATGAGATGAGAATATCCAGACCAAAACTGAGGAGCCATACTTTAATCCCAGCTTTTGGAAAGTAGAGGCAAGAGGATCAAGAGTTCAAGACTATCTTAAGCCACACTGTGAGTTGAAGGCCAGCCTGGGCAAGAGTATTCCTTGTCTCAGAAACAAAGAGTGGTGGCACATGTCTTTATCCCAGCACTCAGAAGGCAGAGGCAGGCAGATCTCTGTGAGTTCAAGGACAGCCAGAGCTACATAGTGAGACCTTGATTCAAAAAACAAAGACTGTCCAGACCATTTTACAATTGTCTTCTGTGATGGACTGTTGTCCGTGCATACTGTTTTAGACTCCACAGCAGTTTAAACCAAAGAGTAGTGCTCCAGGAGGACTACACATACTTTGTTGCTAACAGTTAATTCTGAAGCTTCTCTTTTCCGAATTGCTGCAGACTAAAGGCAAGCTTGTGCTCCCTTCTCGCTCCTGCTCTCTATTTGGGGTGCTGGCCCTCATACCCAGACCTTGCTATACATACTTCAATCATTCTTGCTTCCTTTTTCCTTGTTCTGTTGTTTGTTTGTTTGTTTGTTTGTTTGTTTGTTTGTTTGTTTTTCCTGAGACAGGAACTCACTCTGCTGTCCAGGCAGACCTACTGAAGGTTTTCCTGCCTCAGGCTCCTACATTCGAGGATTACAGGGATGTGCCACTACCTCCAGCTCCCCTTGCCTTTGATGTGTCCTCATGAGTGGAGGAGGAAAAATGAGTTTAGCTAATGCTTTGTCAGTGGGTTAGCTCTAGGAAGAGCCAGGAAAAAGTACTAAGACAATGAAAGCTCATGTGAGGCAAAGCTTGTTTCGCTTAGCACTCTCCAGCGGCACCCAGCTTTTCCCGTTCTGGGGACCTGAGTCTACATCTTTACTGTTTTGTGTGGAATGTGCCTAGTGCTGTCTCCCATGTGCTTATGCTCTGTCACCACAGGGCCTTTACAAGACTGGATTGAAGTGCCTAAGTGGAAAGAATTCTGAAGGGTCTTTTTGTCTTTGCAGAGCCTCGTGGCCTGCAAGAACAATAGAACCGACACATTGCTGAGAAGCTGCTGTTTTCAGTTGTCATGTGCCACATTATTGATGTCCCAGGTAGATAAATGGCATATATGACAGTGGGCCCATGAGTCTACAATGGAAATGAAAGACTCCTCCAAATCACTCATAGTCATGGTGGCATCAGTGAGAATAGACCAGCTGTGCTGCCGCTGCATGACAGCACAACGCACGCAGCTGTGCCTGGAACTGTCCATCACAGGCCACCACAGCGCACTTTGTGCGCTCATTACACAGTACCTGCTCGGTGCACTGCTGTCAAGGCACTGACGCCTGGGTGGCTTCAGGCAGATCCTTCACAAGGTATTCCACAGAAAGGCATGGCTGTTGGGCTGCCAATTATTTCTGTGCCTGTTTCTGCCCCTGAAGACCACAGTGAAACAGAGTGCATTCCTGGAATGCAGTGATGATAATGATAATCAGGAGTGAGTGAGTCTGGGCCAATGTGTGTGTGTATGTGTGTCTTAGTTTTTAACAAAAAGAAAAAAATTCAGAAAGTTAAAAAAAAGAAAACTTAAAGGAAATATTTTTGTACAGCTATAAAAATATAAAGTTCTTTAAAGAAGTTCTATTATACAAGCTAAGGCTATTGAAAATAGAGTATTTTTAACATGTACAGGTTGAAAGCCTACAAGCATCCACCTTGTCTGTCCAAGCATACTGTCACATTTGCAGTGAATGGGCCTCGCCTCGTGGCTCTGCTTCATTCCTGACCCTCACTGATTGCTGCTTTGGTCAGGGCCAAAAGGAAGATGTGGACTCATAGTACCTCTTTTTGATGAAACGCTATGCATTTCCTGTGTGGCCAAAGGCATGTCTCTTTAATAGTGAGCCTCTAACTATTTTGTTTTCTTATTTATTGATGTTTTTGAGAATGGTCTTTATATCTCATTCCCCAACTGCTGAGATTACAGAAGTATACCACTGTGTCCTGCTGTGAACTTCCAGTTCCTGTAACTCCTTTTTCTAAAGGTAAATTTCCCTGCAAAGGTAACAGCTTTCTATCTTTTCAGATTACATAAGCAGTGCATGTTCAGTGTTGAGAAATTAAACCAATGTGGACAAATACAAAGGTCACTTGAAATCCCATCACCCTGTGACAACTTGTTGCTTTCAGCGTGTCAGTGTGGCTCCCTGCCCTATGTTAGAAAGCATGACTCCCCTTTGTTCTCTCGTGCCCATTGCTCCTCTTGGGTAAATACAAGATCCTAGGGCAGCTTGTCAGGCAGGGCTCTGAGGAAGTGACTACAGGCCGCCACTATATACAAGAATGAAAATAGTTACCTGCGTGGATCCTTAAGTGTGTCTCTTTCAGGTTTCTTATGAATGAAAACCAGCAGCCAGAGATGCATTTGGAAATCTGTCATTCAGCTAATGCTACCCCAGACTGCCTTTAAATTTATTTTCCCTTAATATAAATTTGTTTACACACAACTTTGAATGATTTTTTTTTAATTAATGTATTTTTTGTTTTCCCCACAAAATAAAGATGTTTTGTGCATTTCTGCTATGGTGGTAACTTATAATCCACAAGGACCAGTTTAATTTATTTTATTTTATTTGGTAGAAGCAGGGGTGTAGATTATAGATTTATTAATATCTTTCTCTGTATCGTTCCAATTTTAGTATATGTGCTGCCGAAGCGAGCACATATTAATATCTTTATTTCTCAGCAACACTATGTAAAATTTGGTCTTAATCTTCTATGATACTCTAGTTTTACTTTTTTACAATTGATTTATTTTTTTATTCACTTTACATCCTGGTTGTAGCCCCTTCCCTCCTCTCCTCCCATCTTCCCCCTTTTCCCCCCTCATCTCTTCCTCAGAAAAAGGGAGCTCCCTTTCCCATCCACCCCAGCTCGTCAGGTTGCATCAGGACTGAGCATGTCCTCTTCCTCTGTGGCCTGGCAAGGAGGTCCCCCCAGGGGGGAGGTGTACTGCCCAATCAATGCCTGCCCAACCAAAGACCTATCCGATGGGAGAGTGTCAACCTCTGACAGTGTGAATGACACTGTGCTAAGCTTGCAAACAGAAGCCTGACAGAGTTGTCCTCTGAGAGACTGTACCCAGCAGCACCTCATAACAGATGCTGAGACTCACAGCCAAACACTGGGTGATGCTTAGGGAGTCTTGTGAAAAGTGGGAGGAAAGAGAAAAGGACCTGGAGGTGACAGGAGCTCCACAAGAACATCAACAGGGCCAACTAACCGGGGTCCAGAGGTGCTCGCTGAAACTGAAGCATCAACAAAGATGCAGCAGATGTAGTAAGGGAAGTGGGGACTCATCGGACACCGTTTCTTTTATTTTTAGTGAAAAAGTAAATACTCCATTTCAAATTTTAAAATTCAGTTACAATTTCAAGGGGGGGGGAGATAAAAGTCATATTCTACCTTTATATACAAGAACAAGTTAAACTCTGAAACCCTGATACATTTTAAGGAAGTCTCAGTATTTCGTACAAATCAGCAACAACACTACCAATATCAAATGAAAGGAGACTTTTGCTTTGTCTTTAGTTGTATAAGGTACCATGGTTTCATCCTTAGCAGCCCGGATGTCTAGACATAACCCTTCGGCAGGAGCTCCCCTCTTTCTTTGCTCTCCTATGAGGGGGCAGTCCCCACCCTCATGATTCTGAAGAGCGTGTTGATGTTGTTGCTTCGAATTGCATCCCGACAAGCACTGATCACCTGGTTCTTCGGCTTTCCAACTGTATGAGGAGAGACATCAAGTCAGTGTGTCCCAGACGATGATTAAAAGTCAATTAGAAATTAAAGGTCAAGCCAGGCATAGTGACCTACACCTTTGCCTCCCAGGTGGAGGGCAGAGGCAGGCAGATCTCTGAGTTCAAGGCCAGCCTGGGCTACAGAGTGAGCACCAGGACAGCCAGGAACACATGGAAACCCTGTGAAATGGTGGGGGTGGGGCATTGAAGACAGCATAAAACCAGGGTAGAAAAGAGTTACATACACAAATTTTACTAACTTGCTACCCCCTAGAAAGACAATTTATTACAAAACAAACTTGGAGATCATCTCAAGCCAGAATCAGTAGTTTATAGAGATGACTCAGAGCTCACACACCCCTAAGCAAAGACTACAAAGAGGTTGAAGCACTGATCAGAGCGGCAGAATCAAACTCTTGGGCTTCATTTCTGCATCCTGCGGCTTATCCTGCACTTCTCACATGTACACTTGTCTCAGTAATTGTCAGTCTTTCTGGTTTTCCCCTAACTTACATTGATTTACTTCCTTTGAATTATAAACACTAAGTTTTCCTTGAGGTCAGTGGCTCTCCACCTTCATAATGTTGTGACCCTTTAATACAGTTCCTCATGTTGTGGTGACCCCAACCATAAAATTCTTTTACCGCTACTTCATAACTGTTAGGAAACATGATGTAAATATCTGATATGCAACCCCCAGAGGGGTCACAACCCACAGGTTGAGAACTGCTGCTTTAGACGCTACAGCAAGATCTTAGAAAAGGAACTTAGGGCTTTATTTTTATGTTTTTTGAGACAGGGTCTCTACAGCCCTGGCTGTCCTGGAACTCACTTTGTAAACCAGCTGAACTCACAAGAGATCTGCCTGCTTTACTTCTTTAAATAAATAAATAAACAAAACCTGCCTGGAGAAAGCTGAAGCCCTGGGTTTGAAGGAAGGCGGCTGTAGGCCCCACTCTGAGTTTTATAATGTATCCACAATCTTCCATGATCCTCATCTTTTCAAAATACCACCAACAAATCACAGTGCCAGGGAAAGACTCACCACGCAGACGGCCTGCTCTTTGTATTGCTTGGTTCACTGCCTTCAGGTTTCCTAGCAATTCTGTGTGGTTGTTACAACGAATCTTATATCCATTTAGCAAGTCTTTGTTAAGGTCATAGAGTTCCATATAACGGTTCTTCATTGTTTTCCTGTGTAAATCAATAGAAACCTAGCATTAACACTTAACAGACTTCTTAGTTACATTAAAAAGAAAACAGTCAGACACAACGACACACACAGTTCAAAGGCAGCCTGGGCTGCTAATGAAAACCTGTCTCAAACAAACAGAAGGAAAGGAGAAGTGACATTTCTAGTTGTGTTTTCACTAATATAGATTAATTACTGAAGTTTGCTTTGAAGACATCTAAAAGGTTCCATCAAAATATCCTCTTTTTCTCAGATAAATAGTAAACAAGTGAGCTTTTGGAGTAACTGGTCCATGGTTTCTTAGATTAGGAAACTTAACCCCTGAGCTGGTGGGCAGAGAAAGTCAGCAAAGTAAGTAAAAAAGTAAGAAAAGTAGCTAGCTTTCTTTTAAGTTTCAAACTAGTAATTCATTAGATAAAGAGGCCTATTAATAAAATTTCTAGAGAACAGACTCAGCTTGTTATTTCATAAAGTTTAAAAAAGCATGGGCCAGTGAGATGGCTTGATGGATAAGGCTTGTTGCCAAGCCTGATAATTTGAGTTGAACCCACAGAATCTACATAACAGAAGAACTCTGGCGAGTTGTCCTTTGACCTCTACACATTGCACAGGAGCATGCACAAAATCTCATGCCTGTGCTCACACACAGTTAAGTAAAATGAATGTAAAAGAAAATTTTAACAAACATAACAAAGTATTCCTATATAAGAATGAAAATGATTTAAGTAAAAATGCTGAACTGAAGCCCCTACAGTGTTGAATACAAAATGGTAGTTTCTCTGCAAGCCTGGCACTTTCTTATATGAGCTTTAGTTTTCTACATACCTTTAAGGGGGGGGGGGGGAGAAGCCCTTCAGTTCCTTTTTTAATCTTACTACATGCTTACTATATAACCCAGCAGTCCTATTCAAAGAGAAGTAAAAATGCATGTCTATAAAAACCCTGTATGAAAATATAACCACCAAAGCTAGGGAACACGGATACCACCAGCTGTTGAAGGGATAAACTGACCACTACATGTCTCTTTATGGCATACTATTCAGCAATAAAGAAGGGGGAAAAAAACCTATTGACACATGCAACAACATAGATAAATCTCAAAGATTTATAATAGTAAGTGAAAAAAAGGTCAACTTAAACAGTTACACATGGTATAATGGTATTAGGAAAAGGTGAAACTGCTGTGTAAAAAATGGTCCCTGGAGATGAGGAAAGGCATCAACACAGAGGCCCAGAGGAATAAACATTCCAAATCTTGATGTTAGCAGTAGCAACACAATCAGGGAAGTATCTGCAAATTGTCTTCTATATGCATATTATAAGCTACATATCAACCATATTTACATAAATAAAAAGATCTACATATTGTATGAGCATCTGAATAGGAGGCACAAATGATCCTGAGAAGAACATGAAGGTGTAGATACCCTATTCCTCCAGGAGCCTCATACTGTGCAGAATCAAGTGCTAAGGCCATCAACATCAAAGAAACAGAAGACCCAGAAGTGATTGGCCATTGAAAGCAAAACTCTACTTCACTTTGCAGTACACATCTGGAAATTGCGTCTCTGTATAGCTCTGGCTGGCCTGGAATGTGCTTTGTAGACCAGGCTGGCTTCAAACTCAGTCTACCTAATTCTGCCTCCTGGGATTAAAGGTGTGAACTACCACACCTGACCACATCTGGAAATTATTTTATATTTTTGGTTGTGAGCCTAACTTTTAATGGCTGAGCCATCTGTCTAGCCCTTCATCTGGAAATTCTTAAATAGCATTTTACAAAATCAAATGCTCATTAACACAGAAAACTGTAATTACAGAAAATGTAAAACAAAACTAATTTTTAATGCAAAGAATAGATAATACCTAGGCTCAAACAAAACATGGAAAAAAATGAGTGCAAGAACAGTTTTTGTTGGTTTTGGTTTGGATTTTTTGTTGTTGTTTTTGTTTGTTTTTTGAGACAGGGTTTCTCTGTGTAGCCCTGGCTGTCCTGGAACTCACTCTGTAGACCAGGCTGACCTCAGACTCAGAGATCTGCTTGCCTCTTCCTTCTGAGTGTTGGGATTAGAGGTGTGCACACCACTGCCCAGCACAAGAACAGTTTTTAAAGATTGGATAAAAACAAAAACCTTGAAGTGTAAACAATGGCAACAAAACTAGTACTTCTTTTTCTCTAGAGTTTGAGTCACCCAAGTTGCAAAGAGCAAACAAACACAAGTGGCTCAGAAGGATGCAGGTGGGCGGAGGTCTGAGGCAAGAGGAAAAGAGAGAAAATCAGAAACACTGTATGATCCAACAGTCTACTTCTGGGTTTATTATCCAGAAGACTTGAAGTCAGGGTCTTTAAAAGACTAGCATTCCATGCATACTGCAGGACTGTTCACAAAGCTAACACACATAAGGGAGAAAGCCCATAGGCACATGAAAGGAGAAAAACATCTTAGTAAGCAATGAACTACTCAGTCTTCAAAAAGAGGGGAGTTCTGTAATATGCAACACCATGGTTGAACTT